TTGTTAAGTACAACAATGCATATTAATCCAACAATGCGTATCAATGGTACTGTTAACGACTGACGAATGAATGATAATTTATGCATTTTTACTATTCCTTATTTGTTGAAATATGTGACGCCATCTAGTGAAAGTGGAACTTTGAACGGACTATTTACTTTAAAACAATTGTTCCATCTCTCTACCTCGGAACTTCCATATTCATAATCTACGCGTCGTAAGTTTTAAGTCAAATTCGGATTAAAATTCGTCCGGAAAAATTTGAATAGGATTTAGCCGCACTTTTTTCGTATCTTTTTAGACCTCTTAATTTCATTGAAAATGTATAAAAATGTTCTTTGAAATTCTCTTGATTGAGGTATCGACACATTCGATACGTACAGGCTGCAGGATTTTTGTGTGTCAGGTAAATATTTATATTAACTATATTTACACCAACAGAGATGTCACTTTGAAATTTTAAATCATTTTCGCAACATGTGTAAAAGCATTTACAATTCTGTGCAATCAATAAACTAAGCATAAACTTTGCAGAAAAAAATATTCTGTCGGTAAAGTTTTCAAATATGGCATCTCCTTAAATAAATATTACAATGTAGCACTTTCTTCCTTTCAGCATACTATATTCAAATAATATTTATTGAATTCAACCATAAAATAATCACCCCAATACTCTCAGCAGGATTATTAAATATATTTCTTTCAACGTAGCACTTTTCTCTTTCAATATATGCATAATCAGTCGGATAAATAAGTTTCCAGACACTGCTGGTGTTTCGCAATTGTATACCGAACGCTAATTAGCGGAAAATTAATATCGGAGATAGAGAAGAAAATTAATATAACCCTCCGAGGATCTTTGTTATCGACTGTTTGGAAATTACCCATAAAGGATCACGAATCACCAGCGGTCGAGTCGACTACGCAATGGGATCCGCCGTTTCCTGCCGGGACACAATATTCGATGGCTAATTCGATCACGTAATCAATAGACATCCATACGAGGCTTTTTCAGGAAACTGTCGCGATAATACGCGATAAGTCCGCGACGAGACATCACGTAGCGCGACGTGGTGAGTCTCTCTCCATACGTTCCTTCTGCCTGAGACAGAAGCGGCATTTCCCGGGGAAAGTCGCGATGTTTACTTTAACGTAAACTTAACCCCTCAAAGTGCGCCGTGCACCACGTACAATGTAAATCCTGGAAACATGCTGGCAGGTGAACAGCGCATACCGAGGAATCCGACCGCAAACCTTAATTGCGGAGACATCGTCGTCGTGGGAGAGGACGGCCCGGGCGAGAAAGATGACGTCGACTGTGCCGCGGGTGGAAGATGGAGTCGAGACACGGAGTGAAGGACGGTCTCATTCTAGGCACTAACCGGTATGCCGCAGCGGTCCCCGGTGACGCGAAACGCGCGCGCCCGGACCCACCCTTCTAAATCACGCTTCCTCGTTTCGCAGTTTGTCGCGGACACTTCGCCGTGCGTACCGCGTATTCCGCGATGCCGTATTCCGTCCTCCGTCTTACCGTAAATCCGTGGGCGGCCGCCTGTATATATCTCGCACGTGACGCACCGCGGCGTGAATAAAGACGGCAAGATTGCACCCGTAAAACGATCGATGAGCGGATAAAGGCGAATTTATCGCCGCGGCGCGACGTTTGCGGCGTTCACCTTCGGATTCGATGCGGGATCGATCATGCGCGACACTGTATCCGTTCCATACCGGCTTTCCGCATTAATACTTCAGACGGCGCGCGATTTGTCTTTGCCCGGCACGTATATCGGTTTACACGCTCGCACAATACACCGTTTGCCGCTTTTATGCGATTTAATGTATCCCCTTTACATCTTCCGGTACGCTTGCCTGGAGAAAACGATGTGCGAGCCACGTTGCTCCATAAATCAGAGAACGCCGAGCTATTAGCCGGTTCGCGTAACCGATCGTAAACTGCTTTACATTTCTCCCTCTCTCTCTCTCTCTCTCGATGTGATACGTGAGAAATACGATGTAAAGTGATCTCAGGATTCACTGTTACGAGCTTACGTGTGCGATCGTATCTCGTCATTAGACAGCGTCGTTTCGCATCATCGTCGTAATATACGTGCAGCTAATGGATTCTTTTGCCGCGTCGTCGCTCCGCAAGACGATTTACCCTCGCTCTATCATCCCATTCACCCATCCTTCAGCCATTCGCGCGAGTACGTCGCTCGGTGAACGCCGATTTCCACCGCTCTCATGAAAGCACCCTCTCGTACGAATTAGCCGGAACCGACGTGCGAGCGTGATCGTCTCGGTACATAATATACTCGCGCGCACAGGTACATGCGGAATCTCGATGGATATAAAAGGTCGGCGTAACACNCCTCCCCACTTCCCTCGCGGGGGGGGGGGGGGCTTCCTCCTCCTTTTGCTTTAAGCCACCTGCGGATCGTTCATCATACCAGTAATGCATCTACCACCTTTCGCGTTATTCTTGGTCTCTTTTCTGACGGGGTAGTGGGGAGGATGATCTTCGACGCGAACGGGGGAGCCGCGACCAATGCCGCGGCGCCCCTCTTCGCCTCTCTCTCCGCTTGCCATATCCCACCGTCGTCTCCCTGACACCCCACCTGATACACCCCCGAGGAGCTCTCTCCGAGCTATGCAACTCCCGGTAATGCGCGCATCAATAACCTATCATATCCAACCTTCTGGATGCGGTGGTGGCGTGCATCAACCCCTACCCCCTACCCCCTCCCCAATCGCGTTCGCCCTACGATCTCAGACGCGTCGATCTCTTCGAGCTTGTAGCTCGAGTAGACGCGAGTATCTAGATACTTCTCCTGAGGGTCTTTACTATGCATACTCCTTGGAACGGATGTTATGTAAATCGGGCCGCGAAAATCGTTTTCTGATAGCGGCTCGGAAAAAATCCCGCCGATTTCGCACCGGCGCGCACCTCTGTCCGGGACGTGTTGCATATGTAAGATTAGGAATTCTCGATCGCGTAGAGATCCGGGACTTTTTCGCTTTGTATAATTGTATGAACGTGTTAGTGGACGTCGAAAATGTGTTCCGAGCGACTTTTCGAGAAGGCAAGCTCGGTGCGCGAAGTACTCGTGATGCAATTTGATAAAATCGCGATAAGGCACGCGTTGAAGAAAGAAAAATACGGACGGGCGATACGATACGGGACAGTTTTATCACGTCCGTATATGAATAATGGTATTCATTGCTAATTACAACTTTTCTTGTTACTTTCTCATTTATTCATAATCAGTGAGGTATTCACGGATAAAACACTCGTATCAGCCACATTGCTGTTCGCCTTATCTATCGATTCTCTACTCCGTTCTGATTTTATCTTTAGTTTTATCGTTGTTTCATATATTACTCTTATTTATTTGTCCTTTAGTAAGTTATTACCATTATTATTATTATTACCATTATTATTATATGTAGTACGATATATATAAATAATATAACGGGAGATAGTTGTGTGTGTGTGTGTGTGTGTGTGTGTGTGGCAAATCAGATTTCAACATCGTCCAGCGGATTTCGCAACAATAAACCGCCACAATGACTCTAAAGAGTCATTGTGCGAAACGGACCTCGCTCGTCCATAAAGTTTACATCATTCCACCGGCGGCGAAATCTGTAAGGACAAACAGTACGCGGGAGAAGAACGCTTTTGTTGCGCGCTAATGGAGCGATCGCTTGGCTCTCTTTGTCTCTGGGTGACACTCTATTAAAGTGCCATTTCGCGACGCAACAGGGGATCGCGACGCATTTACAATTTCGTCATGGTCGAGAAATCGGCGAAAAAATGCGGCCACCGTCACAAAAACCGGGTTGGGNGGGGGGGGGGGGGGGGGGGGATCGGGCGCGCGAAGCGGCCGCCGATGCGTTTCGACGCTTCCGTTGATAACCGACCGCCGGGTACGAGGCGAATATTATTTTCGAGGACATGCATCTACGGCCGCAAAATTGCCAATTTTATCACTTACGCTCGTCGGTTTCGGAGCCGAAGCTGGGAGCGGTCGGCTGGCATATATCTACCGTGCGCGCAAGAGCGTCGGTGTTGATCGAAAATTCGCGATTCGTGGCTATTCTTCGTGCTGCTCTCTCTCTCTCGCATTCACGTTTCATATCACACCGATATCGCGGTCTGATTTTTTTTCTCGATGTTACGTTGCAAAATCGGACGGCGATGTTGCCAAGGAATCGTCTCATAACATCCGACGGTACGATGATGCCGCTCGGTATGCATCGAATGCGAGGTCACGTTTCAACCGAGTACGATGTATTTATATCGAGTACACGAGCACGATTATGAGCGCGACCGAAGATCGTGTCCTGCGGGCAGGGGAAATCTATCTCGATCATGATGTTCAATGGGGGACCGACGGGCATAGATTTATATGATTCTAATTGAGTGAAGCGCACGCACGGCTGACAGATATTTCGGATTCTCGCATCGGGATGGGATTCTGTGCGTCCCGGAAACGCGATCGGAGATATTGGATCGCAGATATAGATGCCGTTTTTGCGACCAACGTGGCAGCGCTCTCGCATTACGCGGCGCGTGCTCTCCGTGAGATGCATCAGCAGCTCGTTGCGAGAAAATAGCTTCCTCTCGGCAAACGATACACCCGCTATAACTTAAGACGAAAATCGTCCAATTTGCCGCTTTTTTTTACTTTTTGTGTTAACTAGATCAACATAGACGGGCGCGCTATTTAGTCAATTATTATTACGCGGGAAAATCTCAATTCGTGCAATTAAACAGACATTAGACGAAAACGCATTCCGTATCAGACTAAAAATCTATTTTTCTTTCCTTCGTCTTTTTAATTCACGTAGATTCGTATTAATGATTGTTACTTGAAACTTGTCTCATGTGAGATATAACAGTAGCAAGCATATAATGCAGACAACAGTAGCAACGATGGTTTCGTTACAATAGCAAAATTATTCTTCTCCGCAGAGCGGAGAGAAGATAAAGAGATACTTACGTTATGCGTCCTGAGAACCATTTCTCTGTTCACTGGGTCGACCTCGCTGCGTTCGCTCGCATAACACAAGTTCGCGTAGCCGATTAACTGTAAAAAGAAAGAGGAGACGTGCGCTCGCATAATAAGCCCAGGCATCGACGTAAAAGTCTCGTTTTCGGAACAAAAAAAAGAAGAAAAAAAAGAAAGTCGGCACCATTTAAATGTAGTTTCAACGAGAACTGGCTGGCGAACTGCTAAAAACCGATTCGGCCACCGATAAAAATCTCGGAAGTGCTATAGACAAGTACTTCCGGTTCCAAACTTTCCGCATTGAATTCGACGATAAAGCTTTCCAAACTTGAATGGCATGTTTCAGTCTTGAAGAGATACTTGGGCTCGAATTTCGCGATTTTTTCAAGCGCGCTTAGTGAGGCGAGAAGGGAAATGCGGCGATATGTACATACTGCATAATCACATAGTAATTCGCAAATCATTTATCAGTGCATGATATCGCAGAAAGGGTAAAATTAGTGTGAAACTGATACGTGACACGCGTGGTTATGCACAGAGCCATGTTCAATTCCGGAATGTCATTTTACATAGTTCAATAATCCATCATATGCAAACGTCCTGCATTATAATAAATTACAATTAACCCCGTGCGCGCGCGCGTGTGTGTGTGTACGGGTATACATATATCGTTATTCTGCTGGCAATTATTGATCCGTTAATAAGATATCATTTGCAGGAATTGCAGTCGCGTTCGCGCTCAATATCAGGAAGGCAACAACGGACCTTTATGGAAATAAGCCATGCGCCCACATATCAGCATGTTAATACGTACACAAAGTGAACTAAACAAACAAGTGATATTGTGCGAATAGCAGCGAACACTGTAGAGGGGCCGATAAGCGGCTATTGGTCCTGTATCAGAAGGCGGACGATAATTAATTTTGTTGATCGCTTATAACGACGGTCATATGTTATCCCGCTCTCGCGATTTTACAAGAGCGGTGCGAATGCGGCGCGATTTATTCAGTGCCGTCTATTCAATCACTGCGCAAAAATGCACGTGAGTTTCAACGTTCCGTAAAACTGCTAACCGATACAAAATCATAAATCACAGCGTAACATGCGCCTTTTTTCGGGATGAAGACGCTGGACCGGGGAGAATTGATCGCAAAATGCGGTCAATTTAAAAGGGGAGTTATCCCGATAACAAATGGCACACGGTCGATCGATCGGCCGAAATCGACCGATTATACGTCGCGCCGAAAACTGCAGCGCGCGCGATTAAACACACAGCGACCGGTCTCACGCGGAGCAAAGTAAAGATCGGTATAACGAGGGGAAATGTGAGTAAACGTTGGAACTAATCACGTGGCGATAAATAATTCGCAAGCGTAAACGTCGCGACAGCCTGAGCCGCCTATTTCGGTCGGAGAAGAAATGGAACGGCTCGAGGACTCTCTATAAGTTTCCGCGGCGGCGCGCGAGATATTAATAACAAATTAGCATGAGTAATTAGGTAATTAGAAAGACGCTAATTGGGCCGGCATGCTAAGCACACTTTAATTATTGTTCCCCGCGATTAATTATGCATATTCTAATTAGCCGCTCGTATAAACCAGCCTGCTTATACGGCGGCCCGTTACCAATTCGAGCGTTTCGGACGAATGGATGCGAGAAACGAACTTTTCTCGCCCGTACTTTTTCCAGAGCGCGTTTCGTTGTCGAGTGCATCCGCTAATTACTCGGAACAGCACACTGGCAGGTGCAGCATCGAGGCGCGCTGAAACGGCACCGCAGCGGCGAAAGAGAGCGTCGCGACCGAAACGATCCTTCGCACTTTTCCACCCGTTAAGTAATTTCGAGCGTACCTAAATACTGCAACTTTTACCTTTCCACGGGAACATTTCTACCGAGTGCTCGGGAAATACTGCCGCTCCGAAACTCGGGGGCCCACTTGCACCCGGCACGTATTCGTGTGTTGACTTTTTAAAACGTCGAACCGGACTCCTCTCGGTGTCTTAAAAACAACGTTCTCGTGCTTCAGCTTGAATGCACTCACGTTTCAAACAATTCGGCCAATCGATAGCCCCCATCCTTCATCAGCACCCTTAATCGATGTTACTCCAATTTCATTGCTTAATGCACACGTATTATTCATGACGATAATGCGATAGAAATTGGAAGATATCGGAGCACGGTCTGTGCACATAAAATGTAACTGTCAACCTCGTCGATCGTCTCGTTAGTTCGGGTGAAGGAACCTGAGATTTCTGCCGAAATAAATTTCTTACACGCGTCTTTATCGTCGATCGTCCCGGGACGATCACTTCACGTCGGCCGTGCCATCGCTCTTCGAACACCCTATGTACGACGCTGCGAGTCGAGCCGTTCGAGCGAGCGGCTGCACAACGAAACGGCCTGGCGAAATGGCCGAGCTTATAGAAAATCCGACGAGAGGCAGCGATCCGCCAAGGGCGAGAGAAAGAGAGGGGGAGGGAGGGAGAGAGGGAGGAGATTCGACGCCCCGGAATCTCCAGTATGCCACGTCGCAGGCACCACGGGATAGCGAAGGATGAGAGCCCGGGAGTTGCTGCTGCTGGGTATTCCAGAAAGCGGGCGTCTGGCTGGACGATTGCCAAACGGCGTAACATGGAGCGCGCTCATTATGAAAGTTGATGCCGGTACGGATGTTGTTTTGCAATTCCCCGGGTCCCGGCACCTTCTTTTTGCGCACGTTTGTCGAAAGTTTCGAATTTCCGGATCTCCGCGATGCCGCGGCGCGTTGGCGGAGATTGCTACCTCGGTGAACGGGGAGAGGGGGATGGCGCGGGGTTTTTGTCGATCTTCGCCACGGGCTACGTCAGAAAGAGGTGAATGATTCTGTTACGCCGGTTCATGGATTGATTTCTTGCCGCCCGCCGGATATCAGTGCAACATCAATTTCACCGAGCAAACGAGCGTGAAAAAGTTGCCGCGCCGGTGAAAAGGAAGTTACGCGGAAGGTGCGAAATTACTTGATGAATAACAGCTGGGAAAGTTGGACTGCCAAAAATCTACAAGAATCTATGACGTCGTCATGTTTCCTAATAAATTGGCACGTAACGCCGAGGCGTGACTACCGCCTCCGTTTACTTCGCGCGGAAGGGAAACTTCGAAGAAAGCTGAGGGAATTTCGCACAGAACACGTGTTCACAGGAACAAGAAAATATGGAATTTGTACATCCGAAGTTGAATCATGTGATACGAAATAGTTTCAGTGATGGAAGAAAGCAGAACTCGTCGAGAATCGCAGAACATTCGGCGTCCTGAGCGAAAATATCGCCGCGTGTCACGTGGATGGCTCTCGTTCACGCAAGAGTTCGCCGAGAAGTCAAACGTCAAGCGGTATGCTGATTATGTAACTGCAAATAGCTAATCATTTCACAACGTTTACCGCCACAGTCGCGACTCGTGATTTCTCCTCCTCACTACCGCGAAATATCTGAGAGGGAAAAGGGGCCAATATAATATCACACATCCAATTCCATTAATCCTAAAGTCAAAGCGGCCCAGAAACATATCACTAATAGGATTAGACATCTAAATACCAAGCACGGTATTCACAGACACATTCAAATTGAGGAATATATGGAAGCAGCAGCGCAATTTCGAAGTTTGAATCTCGATGCAAGAAGGTTACCCCCTGCAGCAATTCGAGTCAAAAGCCTGGAAGTTATTGAGAGTTACGAGAGTTTACATATTGAAAGGTACGACGTGTTATATTTATACAGAAGAGGGAGAGATATATATAACTACGTATATATTTATAATTATCTATTATAAGTTAGATCTCTCCTTCATGTCGAATATATAGCAGCGTGTAGTTACGCGACTTTACGCGATAGGAGGTGGAAGAAATAAATGAATAAAGCTGCCCGAGTAATCGGCGAGAGTTGATAACTTATTCAAGCGTCACTGGCAACCGACACGAAGGCGTAAAGGTCTTGAGAAGGTCGTTCCGATAAATCCGCACGTGAATGAAGCGGCTTTACTCACGTTCCGCGAGAGTGCGCCGTGAAAATCAATAACCCGAGCCGTGGATAAGTTGCCGCAAGGTTACCGTCAGCCCGGTGCGCCCACACCTCGACCAATAAAGTCGACTTTGCCTTGAACGGCGACCTTGCATCAGGCCGACACACACGTGACTGAGTGGTGAAGAACGCGGCGGAATATTCTTTAAAACAGCATCGGCCGGTCAGCACGGTGTGTCGCAAAGCCGATATACAGGAAGGTTCTTTACCATGTCGTGTATCATAGTCAGTAATTCCTTCTCATTAGTCATCAACTAGCATGATTAAATCCGATTAACGTGACTACTATCGAATGCATCAATTTTAAGGTTAAAAAAAGGTACTTCCTGTTATTCCCATTATAGTGTTGTTACGCGAATTGGAAAGCTATTAGAATTCAATTTCGCATTATCTCACGAGTAGTAAAGCAGCATTTTCATCAATTACGAGGGAATTACATGCCGCTTTCTCAAATAATTTTCAAATGACGATAAACACTCGATCATGATCAAATATTTTAACATACAACTTAAAAATATTTATAGGCTCCGCTCGATTGTTGTGCAATTTTTTTGTTACCAAGATGCGGAAATTATCGTCTGTACCTAACGCCGAGAATGACTGTGCTGTATAAACAGAATTTTTCGACGCTCGACTGTGAGTAAATGTTTGAATGAGACTGATTGAAAAAATGGTAACTTTTCAAGCTTTACTCGCAGTATACAGTATAATTATAATTCAATTATAAGGGAATATTCAAACGCTTAAAAAGTTAAATTTTTATATTTAAATAATAAAATAGAAATTCTGCGACTCATTCATATCCAAATGATAGTCTAAATATTAGTGTATTGAGTAAGCGCATTCATTCGCACCAATTGCATTATTATATTATCATAGGTAAGATCGACAAAAACACTAAAACACTGCATGAAAGTTCGAAAGGAAAAGAATGGAAAAAGTAACATATACTTGAACAAGACAAATTGGACAGAAAAATATTGGAAAAAACTGACATCTTTGTAATAAACGTATCGATTGTTACGGTGTCAATCGGTAGTACCTACATTTGAATAATATCCACATTTACGTAGCACTCAAATAGTAAATCAAGTGGTATTTATAAATTTGAATACGGAATAAGTATAGAAAGCACTTGACTTACAGTAAGCAACTCTGATATCAGTACGTTCAGAAAAACTTAAATATTTTTTTAATATATCTATTCTTTGAAAAGAATCTGACATTTAAGAGATGTAGGAGACAGTCTATTTGACGATTCTCGGGGCGTTTTTTATACATTGGACTAATGACGTTATTACATAACGAGAATGCTTTGAAGTATCTAATGGATTTTGTCCTTTGTTGTATAATCTGTACTTTGGCGTCGCCGTCGTCTCAAGATATCGGAGTATCTGTAGGATGCGAGCTGAGATACGGTACAAGCGTTTGTTCGAGAGATAAAGCACATTGCGAAACGCTCGTCGATTTGGTTATGGTTCGGTTATGGTCTGGTTCGACGTGAAATTCATAATGCATTAATGTAATGACATCGGTGTCTGGGCTATCGGCGTTGGCCCGTTTTCCTTCACATGTGCTAAGCAGTACTCTATGAATGGCACGTGACGGATCAGCTAACGACCTCGTGTTCTCGTTCGAGGAGGAGGAGGAGGTTATATTAGGTTAGGTACTCTGAGACGCGATATCGAACGCGCGGTAATCGTGAGAAAATATCGGAACTTACCGCTTGCGTCCATTTAGGAAAGCCCCAGTGACTAGAGACAACAAGTCTGTGAGTGTGAAGAACACCATCGACCACTTTTCTATCTATAACATCAGCTCCAATAACTGATGGAACCATAGGATTCGGATATTTCCTCCATGCGGCTTGTGCTACGGTCTCCCAAGGATGACTAAAACAAAGAAATTTCCCATCGTTGTTACGTCATCCTGAAGAATTTCGATGAAATTATTTTTAAGGACTGTAGCATGATTATTAATAAAAACGATTTTACTCTGAGAAAAAAAGACATCTTCCATCATACGAAACTCATTTTTAACTGATAAAGGATGCGATGGTTTAACATTTTTACTCGAAGCTTTGTAAAAAAATCACAACGTTCTATGCAACTCGGGGCGAATTTACTTTGGAAAAAAGAAGATATAGATACGAGCGTCAAACTCTACAATGATAACCTATACGAGTACCGTCTTAGACCGTCGAAGAGATCACTCATTTTATTCACGAAATGTGTAATGAATGTAACAGGACATACAGTTGCGTTGCCGTTTTTAAGTGAAATATATTTAAGAAACCTCTTTCGAAGAAGATTTTAGTTGAGTAATCAAGTACAAGGTGTAGGAAACGCCAGAATCGCACTTAGTACTTACTCAAAGGTGTGCTCCGATGTCCAGATTTTCATGTTGTTACGAGAAGAAGGTGCGACACCGCATGTAGAACGAACGATGTAATTTTACCGTGCGACACGTGCACGGAACAAGCTGTCACGATTCCGAGCGTTCGTCGTACGTCGAGCCGTCTTTTAAAGAGTGATGTAAGAAGAAGAGGTTGGAAGCGACACGCTCATTTCATCATGTCCACGGAATGCTATCAGCTGTGCTGTTAGCCAATCGCCGTCGCTTTACGAAGAGCTTAACATCATTGGTCAATCGATGGTTGCGCGCCAATATCAAATATATTAAGTTCGACGTGACGTTATCGTGATACCGACATATAACGTGCTGAAAATGATTGTTTTTTTTTACGAAGTACTAAGTACATATGTAATATCAATAACAGTTAAACAAAAATACCTAATAAATATAAAAAAATAAATAAAAATAAACTATTAATGTTTTGTACCGGCAAGATTGAGACAATTGTTTAGGATTAAAAATTAGAATAATTCGTAAAACAGTCCTGCAATACATCTTAAAGTTAGAAACTTTAATTTAAAAATATAATAATAATCATAAAAATATAATACACACAGAAATATTTAACAATATCATACATTAGTTTTCAGTTTTTTATAAACTTTATATTTCTTAAAAAATGTATGTACTACAACTATTGAAATATAAAATGTTTTCTTCTCTGTAACCTCCTCGTCTTATTAGATGGTGCAACCTATAAGAGAAAAATAACAAGGTTTATTGTAGAATTAAAAAATATAATCGATGAACAAAATATCAAGGGTCAATAAAGACAAACCAAGGCTACTTTGCAGCTTTGCTTCCACTGAACTGCATCTCATGTCTAATGGCACAATAGGTTGAGGCCCTTCATGTTCCAAAATCACTTTTTCAGCTGCTTTTAACGCATTGTACACTGATCGAGACTTCGGTGCTTTTGCCAAATAAAGTGCGCATTGCCCCAAAAGTACGTCACACTCAGGCATGCCAATCATTTGACACCCATACATTGTGTGAACAGCTACACCTACATTTTTATGACAATATAGTTATGCACATATTACGAAAATTGTATTTCGTTTCTTACCCAAAGCATCGGGATCGGCTAAACCAATATCTTCGCTGGATATCCTAACTAGTCGCCTTGCAATGTTTACTGGATCTTCTTTGGCTGCCATAATCCTCGCCATCCAATATAGTGAAGCATTTGCTTTACCAGCTCTTATTGATTTATGAAGCGCAGAATATATATGATGGCTTTGATTGGTTTCGTCGTCAGAGAGCAAATGCGCTTGTATTAACTTTTCTTTCATATCTTTCAAAGTTATTGCGAAAACATTATCACACGATGTGTTTGATCTGTCCGACCTTTTTGCAAGTACTGCTAATTCTAATGTATTTAAAGCTACGTATGCATCACCATCGCATGCTTCTGACAGCCACTGTACTGCTTCATCAACCATATGAAATCTAAGGTTCGAGGTGGGACGAAACATAATCTGTTCTTTACTGTCCGTTCGCCTCTCTCCTTCAAGTACGCTTCCATTTATATACCCTATTGCCCTATGAAGAATTTCCTTTATGTTAGATTCCGTTAACTTATTTAACATAAACACACGACAGCGGCTTAATAAAGCTGGGTTCAAACTGTACGATGGATTTTCAGTAGTACATCCAATTAAAGTAAATGTTCCTGCCTCTACATGTGGCAAGAATATGTCTTGTTGTAGCTTGTTGAACCGATGAATTTTATCCATGAACACAACTGTCTTGTGTCCAAATTTGAATTTGTCTTGCGCTGCAGCAACGGCATCCCTTATGTTTTTCACACCAGAGTTAACAGCTGATAAGTTCACAATATGCATATTATTATTTGTTGTTTCCTTGCCTAGGCACGCTATTACATTAGTTAGGGATGTCTAAAACATAAATTATAAATAATTACAATAACATAACAGACAGAATGTTGGCAGTTTTGACATCAATGCTGTCAAACTTTGCGACAAATACTTTGCAAAATCTGTCTCAGTAAATCTAACAGTCTCGGAAATAACAGCAAAGAATGAAATTGTAATTTTACCTTTCCACATCCAGGTGGACCCCAAAATATCATACTGGGAATTTCTTTCTTTTCTAACAAGTGCCTCAAAACAGTATCTGGACCAATTACTTGTTTTTGCCCAATATAAGTTGCGATAGAAGTTGGCCTCAATTTTTCAACAAGTGAAATACATTCCTCACTTAATGTCTCTGATAGTGTCGTTGAATGTTTCATAAATACATCTTCAGATGAGCTTCCCATAGTGTTTGATAATTGATTGGTATGTACTTTAAATTTTTTCATTTGGTTACTCGTTGCAGAATCTTCTTCGAAAGGAAATGACCTCTTAGCTTTCCCTTCTGCAAGATTCTCTCTTTCTTGGCTACTATATTCTCTTTTACGCACTAAATACTGCATACTTTTATTTGCAATTATTTAATACAAATAATAGACATATTTGGCAACTACAAACATAGATAATACGATGATACATTATACGTCATAGTTAACGTATTAGAAAGTAAAATTTTGGCAAAATTCACTGATACACTTTTTCCACAAGTCTAATTATGGAATATATTTTTTTTCGCCAAGATTTTACCGATGGATAATAATAATTATAAGTAAAGATTGGTTATGTACGAACAATAATTCAAACTGCGTTCAATTTGGGCGCTTACGCGCTGGACTGTGTTCAAAAATACACATTGAGAGCGGAGTGAAATTTCATTGATCAATCGTGACAAAGAAATCTTAGTTCTTTTTGTCTTGGCGAAAATTGGCGAATTAAAATCTATTTTATCCCCAGATGCAGGCGATCGTAGTTCCGCCTTAAAAATGGATGCAGATGGCGCATTAAACAGTGCTGCTTCGCGGTATCACGAAAAACGCGGTCGTGGCCGTTCTCAGGTTTTTCTCCGCGAAAAGTGAAAAGAGGCAAATATACTGCCATCTACTATAACATGAACTTACATTAGGCGCATATCGTTAATTTTTCGTGATAAACTAACATCATGTAAGGCACATTCATCGTACGCATGTGCTGAGGGAACGGATTAACGAATTATAACGAAACCACCCGCAACAGTAAGTCCGTCGCACCAGGTATGTCCTCTTATATCAGCTGCTTTAAAACTACAGTTAGGTTGGGAACATTCGTAGAACGTCAGAAATTCGATGTTTCCGTAACGATGGCAATGGCGTCGCCGGCGAGCGAGGAACAATACCGACACGAACAAGAGGCGTTCGTTTCCAATCACGGAGGTACGACGCCGCAAGAAATTATTTGCACACTTCTGCCGAACGTTTGCGGTGTCCTGTTGACAGCGACGATTCTGGCAGTCTCTAGGAATTATACCCACAGGAACGTCCGAGTCCTCATAGAGTTCGTGCTGACTGTCATCCCGACTGTTTTGTGTTGCACCGTACTGTCGGAGCACGTCGGTGTCGTATGCATCGTAATGATATCCATTTCCGTAGTAAATATATTACTACTCGCAAGTAGGGGGATTAATCTTCCCGGTTCACCTATGCGGCCGGTTACCGGCAAGAGGCCTTTCATAACCAATTTTCGCGCGTTAACCAATATAATAACTGCGATTTGCGTATTGGCCGTCGACTTCCAAATCTTTCCCCGAAAGTTCGCCAAGACGGAAACGTTTGGATACAGTTTAATGGACACGGGCGTCGGACTGTTTATATTCGCCAATGCGCTGGTCGCACCGGAGGCTCGAGACCTCTCCGTCCATCGTCAAGGGGGCTTTCGAGAAACTATACGAAGAAATATGAAGAATTGCATTCGTAGTTGTCTGCCTCTCTTGTTGTTGGGATTCGGACGTTTTGCTATTGTCGAATATACAGCCTATCAGAAACATGTCACTGAGTACGGGATTCATTGGAATTTTTTCATAACTCTGGCCGCGGTTAAATTGTTCACTGGTATGATCACCAGCACGATTAACTCCGAGTATTCGCTACTCTCAGGTATTTGGATATTAGGAATGCACGAGTACATTATAAATACAACGGGCTTGAAGGAGTGGGTTTTGAGCAACGAGCCAAGGAATGATTTCTTTTCCGCCAATCGAGAGGGCCTAATATCCATACCCGGTTATGTAGGATTGTACTTTATTGGTGTGGCCGTCGGGAGATTGATACATTCGACATATCGAAATTCACACAGGGAGTACATGTTGCACCATACTCATAAGGATATTTCTATGAAGCTGTTTGATCTTCAATTGGACGCGAGCTACAATGAGTCAATGACGTTGTGTATCAAGTTATCTTTGATATCCGCGCAAGCTTGTATTGCGACATTATTCTGTGATATGTATTTCAACGTCTCGAGGAGACTAGCTAATGTCGGGTACTGTGCATGGATATTAACATTAACAACTGTTCTGCTTACTCTCTTGCTACTTGTGGAAATTGTGTTAGACATAATTAACTACGCGGTGAGTGAATCACGCGCTGAGAGCAGGACGGAGAGATTGCGTAAAAATTTACGGTTGAATTTAAAGAAACATGTGGAAAGTAAGGGAGAAGAAGACAAAGAGTGTTTAGTCAGAAGAACCTTGGAGATTTTCGACGCTGTTAATTACAACGGCCTATTCTTCTTCCTTTTCAGTAGCCTTTTGACTGGTCTTGTCAATATGTCAGTGTATACATTGTACACAAAACAAACGATAGCTCTGTTGATATTAGTTATATACATGGCTGTGAATGTATTTTCAATATTGATATTTTATAGGCTACAAATATCATTTAAACTGTGAAATGTATATGAAGATTGTAATAATTTAATTTCTATGAATTTTTATAACCTACGGTTGACTTCTCGATCGTACCTGGAACAGTATTCTTTCATAAGCGTTATTATGTTGTATAAATGAAGATGCGCTACGTAATTTGTAAACAGAAAACTCTGTTTTCTCACATACATATTACATTCCACATTGCCAAGCAGATATGTGTGTCGTGTGTGTGTGTGTGTGTACAACTAAGAACATTGCAGAAAAAATTGGAATTAAAAATTATAAGAGTTAAGAGAAAATATTGCCAAATGTAACTCGCACATATCAAGATTTATTACGCACTTACTATTTTTTATTTACTAAGATAAGTATGTACAGTTTCTCTCGTATAAAAATAAGTAAAAGGAATATTCTCGGTAACAAAATATTTACTTAGTGTGTGTTAAGATCACATCATCCAGCATTCTATTACGCAATTCTTTTTTTTTTATTTAGTACCTAAATCTTGTTCATAATTCATCTTTGGGTGATATATTCGACTTCCGTCGTAACCGAATTACTTCCTCTGCGTTAGGAGTTTGTGTGGATTTTTTATTATTTCTCGTCTTAGTATCATTGTGCATTTCGATATTAATATCGCTGTTGAGGAATTTTTTAAATGCATTATGATACTTTACGTGATTTTTCGCAAGCGATACGATTCTCAGGAATTCTTTCACGTCGAAACTGTAATTCGTGAACTTCGCATGAGCTCCGCCGTCAGGATGCGTTCCCTGTAAATTAAATTTAATAACGATAATGAGAGAGAGAGAGAGAGAGAGAGAGAGAGAGAGAGATATGAAATAAATTTAATCATAATGATGATAGTGTATTATGATAATTATAACGATAACGAGAAGTGTGATCATTAACGCGGTATAATAACAATAATAATAATTAGAGCGGTATTCTCAGGATATTATATTATCATGAAGCTCGGGTTGCACGAATTTGCATTCCATCGCCTCAAGAAAAGACGTCGCGGAGAGTTTCGCCAGAAAACGCAGCTCACGTGTGGGCCCAACTAACCCAAGATATTTCCGACTGTTAGGAAAATTTTAGTCAACAAGCTTAATGTGGTTTTCCTCGACTGTTAACTCAGGATTGTGTTCATCATTTAGTTCTCCGCTCGAATCGAGAGAAATCGAGGAATCCAAGTATTAAGATATATAATGATGTGACAAATATTGTCAAACTCTGCATTTTTCTAACAAAAGTTACAATATAAACGCACCAGATCCTGTTGCACCAATTTCGACGTATCTTCCCATGTGAAGTATTTCACCCCTCTCAGCCGCGCGAGATCCTTGTAGCAGTTAGGGTCTTCGCAATTATATCTGCAGGAAATAATTGAAATGTATCGATGCATACGATGTGCGGAACTTTCGTAATCGAGAGAAAAAAACATCGTATCGTTTCGTGCCAAATGTATGTGTGAATCAAGATGCTATCGTGTATCTTTCCTAGAATGAATGAACATTATGGGAAATAATTAGCCGTATTTTTTAAGTAGCTTACATTTCGAATACTGCCGCCCAATCTGGTAGGAACATCGAATGCGTCAATCCAGCGCCGTGCATACCGATATAAATGTCGGAATTCCTCGTGACTTCCAACTGCTTCTTAAACGTCATATTTTTATTATACACTACCTGCAAAAGCAAATTAATCGTATCATAAATATAATATATATACGGAGAAAATATTGTAGTAAAAATTACCACAAAATTTCGTAAGACTGGACGATACCGGAATTATAAATGAAATTATGTGTATCGTAATTTTTAATGATGTATTTCATTGTATACATCACTAAAGATTACAACACACGATAATTTCAGCCGTAATTTCAGTATGATCCAACGTTACAAAGTTTCGTGGTACTTCTGCTGCAATATTTTCTCCGTGTAGGATATTGCAGATTATTATCGAAGTTTTACCTTTTTAACTTCGTATTCCGGATTTTCCTGCAAAGCTTTCACCAACTCATCTTCATTCAAGATCTTCCTATACCGAGTGTCTCTGCTCAACAATGTGACGTGGATCTTCCGATCCTTCCTTCGGTGAAGGGGTATTCGAAGTCGATGCAGCATATGATCGCCAAAGGCTTTGAACAATCCGGACTTTTCACAGCCATAAATCTGAAAGTACGTTCTCTTTTAATTAGCAGTCTTTCTTCGAATATGAAGTATCTCAGTGAAAGAATATACAATGTCAGTACTAGAGGCGTATTATAATAGAGGCCGAATATCATTCGCGGCAACAAGGGAAACACTAAATTCCGGAAGCACACGGTCTTGCCTCGGAACGTTTTCAGGTCCCACAGCGGATTTCTCGTGAATACTTCGAAGGTGTCTTGAAACGCCGACCGATAACTGAAAAAGCAAAAACACCGTATCTAACGGCTCGTGGTCTTCGTTTTACGTTCGTGTCAGTTACCTATAACTTTCCCAGATCATTATGTGATTGTCAGTATCGAAGGCAGATGGGTGCGAGAGATTCACGTGCAATGATGCATATAAGTTGAAGAAGTCGCAAAAGTGATGGTACATATTTACTACTAAAAACAAAGCGCGACTTTAACAGAATGACGAAACTGCGATTTGTTCGGACGAACTTTTCGCAAACGTCTACGAACTCACTAGCGTCTATCTTCATGATGAAAGTCGGCTTTTCAATTACCACGTCGCAATCGCCACGAACAATTGGCCGGCGGGACAGTTTCCGAAAGTTTCTCAATTCGGGTCCCCAGGATTGCAGCGGGCTGATGTGATCCGTATTTTCCTGCAGTCTCCTTTCGTTCAGCCTGATCGCCGAAGTGAGAGTTAGATACTTTCGAATTTCACGCGAAGGTGATCTGCTTTGCCTGCTGATATTTACTTACGTGCAGTAGCCGCCGATTTGACCTTCTTTTAGAACATCCATTTTATACCGTATAGGTTCCTTCCGATTCAGCAAATCCGTGAAATTTAACATTACATTTCTCGCTCGGCAAAACCTCATATGCTCCGAACACTCCAACGACGAATCTTCCTGATTAATAAAACGCGATTAATGAAGATAAAATTACGATTTGTGCGCAAAGTATAAATGTATGACTAGCAGTAACAGTCTCATAGCAATGACGCGTTTCATACCTTCGTCAACAACACAGTAACTACTCCTGCGATAAACAAACACGTAATCAAACGTGAAATTTGATCAAATTATCAATTAAGTTACATAATCTTTATTTTTACTTTACACGTGATATCGGATTCCTATTATGATGAGCTCACCACAAATAACGGTTCGCACAATAGCATCATCTCTTTCCTCTGATCGCGCACATATCCAAAGTCGCCTTGCGCGTAATACGTGTCCAATTGAGCTTTTTTCGTAGTTACCCATCCTTTATGGTCGCCTGGACAATGTGGAACGGAAAAAGAATTTTCCGCTTTACAGTCTTGCTCGTAGCCCCAACAGGCTTTGATATCGAGAGCATCCTGAAATATTTGGAAAAATTCATAAATAAATGGATGTATGAATGAATGAAGAATTTATTTATGTGCATTTATTTGCATTTATTTATTAGATGTTAGGAATACATTTCATATTAGATATTAGATATATATTGATTTATTAGAAAGCTTTTTTAGAGGAAGCTCGAACGAAAACTTACGATACTGTATGTATCCGTAAATACATCCCATAAAATAAAAGTATACGAAAGAATTATATATAAAATATCTAGAAAAATAGACGAGTAGATACATTATGAAAAAAACCGCAGCGTAATTTAATTTGCATGAGATATTGTGGAAAATATAAATTTACTCGCCGCATTGCAACGAAACATTATATAATTTGTTTTGTAAAAAAAAAGATTCTGTAGAATTTGCGAGTGAAAAGAGAAGAAGTTCTAATAAAAACTCGAGTAAACGAAAAAACGATGCAGAGAAGTGGAATCCAGAAATGAAGCGCGGAAATTGGCACAATTTTAATTGTAAATTATTGCGGCATACTTCGTTTTATAGTAAATATAAAAAACTTTACATATGATTGTAAAATACGATAATAAATAGGAACCTGATGTGAAATCTAAACCTAAAGTAGCTATAGAAGACTAAATCAGAATTAATATGAAATTAAAAATGAAATACATAAAAAAATCTAATAAATATGTTTTAAAAGAGATTACCTAATAAGCAAAAAATTATTAACACAACGTTATTACAATGGCATTTTATAACATGTAACGTTTTCAAATATTTAGTTCTCAATGTTGTACACAACGTCATTGTTAACAATATTTTACCCAAATGTTAAAAATAATATTTCTATACTGATTTTAATATTTAGGAATATTATATTATCAAGCAACAGTTTAAAAACATTTGTAAAATATTATGTCAAAATGTTTATAAAACCAATATTCCAAAAGATTAATGTTTCTTGCTTGCTGAGTATAAAAACCCCTTTCGTATAAACACACGTTTGGTTTTAAATCAATTATCGAAGAAGTTGCTCTCGAAATTTATAAATAAAATTTCGTGCTTTAAATGTCATAAAAAGTGAAAGTGTACATCCAGAGAGCAAAATTAAACACAGGTCTTACCTTATATGGACATGCCGTATCGTTGCGGCACTTTTCTGCTACCGTGGGAAAAGAATTCAAATAATACTTCACGTGATCATGCGGCAAATCAATGTCTATGTAATTGCCGCCAATGGCAGTGACCGTGAATGCGAACATCAATGATGCAGGATGAACCGCGAACAACGTCCTCATGATCATCGTGTGATAAAACTATTCCGAAAAGAGTATTTCGCAGCGTTCGTCTTCAACTAGAAGCCGCACAATGTGAATGAAAAACGAACCACTTGTTAAGGTGGGTGTATGACCTCACCTACTGTATTCCATCACAACCACATCCGTCCGCGCACCCACACGTACACGTGGAAGTCACTCGCGGAGGAGGAGTGAGAGGTGAGATGCTGAAGATGTGTAAGATATGAGTCAGCTTACATCATAGAAATTGTGCACTGGCTCGCCTTGAGAAAACCCACGAAGAAGCGAAGCTTTGATACTTCTTATTGTTTTAAATAATACACCGGCGTTCCTGCGGTCTGTTGGTCTGATCGATAATGCAGCACCGTCTGGGAACGGAGCACGCCGGGATATTATCTCGGAATCACTCCTGAACAAGCTTACTGACTTTAATCATAGATCTTTCATGAAATCATGAAAACCCACGTTGTCTCTCGTAGATGAAGGAGACGAAAGAGTTTTCGTACCCGGTTATCTTTCACGCCGTCAGCTGTGCAACATCATGCCTACAACATGGCTGTACGCACTGTCACTGTCAAGGATATCTTATCTGTGAGCACCGACGCACCAAACAATTTTTTCCTGAAGATAAAAATATTTCCACTGGAACGAACCGTCGAGACAACGTACCCTCCAGCACTTTCTAAGCTTACTACCCGAGTCACGCAATCTCCACCGTCTCGAGGTCGCAGTTTGAATCTTCGAACCGTAACGCTTTGCTGTCTTTGTGTTGTGGCACGTGAGAAAGTAGTCTTGGCTGGTTTGGGTCCATCTATGGGTTATCTTGCATTACATGGTCCACGTGGAGAATGTTATCGACAGAGTAACGATAAAGTAGGAAAATTAAAACAACCGTTATCTCGTGTCGATATAGGTTTCCACCGATGATACTACCTTCCATCGATTTATTACCAACAATTATTTTTTTATTTCTGTGTTATCTATAATTAATAAGAGTGGGTCGAGGTTGATAAGACAAAAATGTGTAAAACAGTACTGTTGTAATTATAATATTGCTATTAAGATGTCGAAAGTTGATTTGTTTATAATACTTCCCTCTTCAATCTGTAAAAAGACGTAAAGTTAGATATAAATAGGAATCTGTAAGAAAGTTTTCATAATTACGAAAAAAATTCCCGCGTAACTGTTGACGCACCATAATCTTGACGCATGTGATCTTAAAATCATACTTTCGGCGCAAACGCCAGATTTAATATCCTTGCGACTAATATTCATACTTTTTCATGTTGTAATACTAATTAACGTTATAGAAATGAAATTATTAGAAGAGACGATTGCGAAAATTTTGGAAGTTAATTTGCCGTACTGTGCAATTATTTCTTTTTTAATATTGTCTTCTTGATCATCCTTGTTTATCGTACCTTTCTATTGCGAGAGCCTTTTATAAAGTTTCACGTCCCAAACGGTAGAAATCACGATATCTCTATGATCAGTTACAAGTACGGAACAGACGAGCTTCGTAAGGAGCCACTTCACCGTGCGATTATCGTCTGACGTAAACCTCATGCTGTGACCTCCGTTATCCGCCGAATTCTCGCGTTTCTTACGTAAGGCGAAAGCAGCCTCGATAAGCCCACGAAACGCACCTAATGCTAATCCCCGCGGGATACGTCAAAAACGATTTCGACGTATACGGAAGAGACGGGAGTTCGATCCTCCTCTCGAGGCGTGGCTCGGGCTGAGATCCTATCTTCTGTGTTTATACGATTTTGCTCGCCGGAGAGAGGTACGATTTGAATCTAAGGGTCGCCGCATTCGCCGGCTCGGGTACACCGAGTCCCACACTCCGTTAGGCATGAGTCCTTACGTAATCTGGAAGACTCGTGGATATCAGCTGCGGCTCTCGTTGATCGCAGGTGTCTCTCTCGGTTCACCGGGGAGGGGAGGGGGG